TGTGCGCCAACAACCAGGCCTACCCCTTCGACTGCACGCCGTACAAGAACACGTCTTCAGCTACGAGAAGGCGCTCTGCGTGCCCAGGTGCGGCCCGTCACTTGATGCCTCTCGCCGGAGGCACAGTGGGCCACAGGAGCGGCGCAGAAGACCAAACCTCTCGACGCGTTTTGAGCTCCAGAGTCGCTAAATGGGGCTCGAACCGAACGTGTGACCCCCCCAAAAGGATTGCTCTCCGATCGAGGAATCCATTGGGGGGTCACACGTTCGGTTCGAGTCCGATTAAGCGATTCTGGAGCTCAATACGCGTCCGGGATTTTGACCGCCTCCACCGGTCTTCTGGCCCACAGTGGGCAAGACTCAAGACGCGTTCGAAGCTCGAGCCGTTAAATTGGGTTCGAACCAAACGTGTGGCCCCTCCAATCGATTGCTCTCCGATCGAGGAATCCATTGGTGGGGTCACACGCTCGGTTCAAGTCCTGCGTAGCAACTCTGGAGCTCAAAACGCGTCCAGAGTTTTGGCCGCCTCCACCGGTCTTCTGGCCCACTGTGCACGCCTCCCCCTCGCGGCTCTGACCTCCACGGCTTGCCCTGCAGCACGGAGGCGACGTGCAACACGGTGGCCTGCAACAACAACAACGTGGGCACCTACCAGCAGTGGCGCAGCGAGCACAGCGTGTACTTCGTGTGCACCGACAACAACGCCGCGCACGCATACGTGGCGGACTGCGGCGCCAACCACGCCATCACGGCGGACGGGGACTGCGCCCTGGCGTGCCTGCGCGAGGGCCGCCTGCCCGACGAGTCCAGCCCGGACAGGTACTTCGAGTGCATCCAGACGGCCACCAACACCTTCACCGACCCCATCCCCGGCACCTGCCCCGCCGGCACCACCTTCGACGCCTGCTCGGAGCGCTGCGTCAGCACCGGCACTCCCGGTAAGCCGTCGGCAGCAGCATGACGCATCACCGAGGGGGTAACCACTCGCGTAATACCCTGTACACAAAAACCCGTGTATTACGCGTAATACACGTGATCGTAATACCATTTTTGGGTCAAATGTGCCAAATTTGGGCATTTTAGGGTCGTAATACACGTGTAATACACCCGTAATACAGCGTAATACCGAGTAGTCTGTACACGATTTCTTGAAGTGTTTACCCCCTCGCGCATCACAGTGGGCCAGAAGACCGGTGGAGGCGGCCAAAGCTCCAGACGCGTTTTGAGCTCCAGAGTCGCTAAATGGGACTCGAACCGCACGTGTGACCAATGGATTCCTCGTTCGGAGAGCAATCCATTGGTGGGGTCACACCTTCGGTTCGAGTCCTGTTTAGCGACTCTAGAGCTCAAAACGCTGCTAGAATTTTGGCCGCCTCATCCGTTCTTCTAGCCCACTGTGCATAGCGAGAGCAAGCACCTTACTCGGCACGCGATCTCTTGTATTTAAATCTCGGCCGCGCGCTCAAAATATTGGACCACGGATTATAGCAGTTCTTATCTAGGCGCGCTCAAATTTCTGCAGGGAAGATAGGGGACTCTGGGACGTGACCTTGGGCCCACGATAAACACAAAACTTGCAAGGCAGGCCTTGTACCTTGTGCGGACTCAAACGCGTTGGCTTTTCTCATTGCACAACTTACTTTTGGCGAAATTTCGTTAAGTGTGCTCTATGAAAACCTTATTAAACTACAAACCTTGTACACCCTTCAGTTTGCTCAGTTCTTTAAATTACAAGGTAGGTTTACGCCAGACCGCGTCTTATCGTAACAGGCTTCGCGATGTCTCGCTGCCTGTTCCTCCAATACGCGCCTGGCGTACCTACCTTGGCCTGCGGCGCTAGCCTGCCTTCGGCAGGCCATGGCTTGCCCATCGTCGGTTACTTCTAAATTGTTGCATGCTGGGGGGCTCCACAGACCCCCCCTTCATTCCAGATAGAGTTGCTTCATCTACTGATAACAAGATCTTGACCCTTGTTACTTTTCAACTTGCCGGGGCTGGGGGCTCTGCCCCCCTGACCCCCTCTTCTTCAAGGCGGAAGGCATTTGCCTGCAGAAAACTCGATTTTTCGCCGTTTTTCAGTTGTTTTTCGGCTAAAAACTGAACCAGTTGAGCTAGGATAGT